TCCGAATGCAGCTTTTTCAGAAATGAGCTTGCAGCCAACAGCTTTCTGAAGCCAGAACTGTTAAGAGTAAACCCAATTAAAGTAGCCATTAGTATGCCAACCATGATAACACAGAAGAAATGGAAAAAATTCCTAGAAATACACAATGTACTGAAACTGACTCATAAAGAAATAAAAAATGTTATATATAGAAGCCTAATATGCAAATTGTGCCCCCGGGAGTTTGACCAGGAATTCAATCCCTCACTATGACATGCACTGACCACCAGGCGCAGCGTGGAACAAAGGAAGACCCCAGCCAGCAGCTGGGGAAGGGAGGCCCCGGCCGGCACCCAGAAGGCCCCGATCGGCCCTGATCGCCGGCCAGGCCTAAGGACCCTGCCTGTGCACAAATTTCATGCACCAGGCCTCTGGTAATTAATAAGAAAACTGAACAAGTTATCAAAAATTTCCCAACGAAGAAAAACCTGGGGCTAAATGGCTTTGCTGGTAAATTCTGCCAAACACTTAAAGAAGAATTAACACCAATCCTTCTCAAACTCTTCAAAAATAGTGAAGAGGGAACACTTCTTAACTCATTTTAAGAGGTCAGCATTACCCTGATTCCAAAGCCAAAACACTACAAGAAAACTACAGACCTGTATCCCTCATGAACACTGATGCAAAATCCTCAATAAAATACTAGCAAACTGCCCTGGCCAGTTTGGCTAAGTGGATTGAGCGTAGGCCTGCGGACTGAAGGGTCCTGGGTTCGATTCCAGTCAAGGGCACATGCCTAGGTTTTGGGCTCAATCCCCAGTGGGGGGTGTGCAGGAGGCAGCCAATCAATGATTCTCTCTCACCGATGTTTCTATCTCTCTCCCTCTCCCTTCCTCTCTGAAATCAATAAAAATAAAAAATACTAGCAAACTGAACTCAGCAGATTAAAAGGTTTATACACCATGACCAAGAAGAATTTATTCCTTAAATGCAAGGATGGCTCTACATACAATAATCCATTCATGTAATCCAATAGAAAGGAAAAGGAACACACATGTTCACTCAATTGATGAAAAAAAGCTTCTGACAAAATTTAACTCCCTTTCATAATAAAAACATTTAACAATCTAGAAATAGAAGGAAACTTCCTCAACATAAAGCCATATTTGAAAAACCCATATCTGAACATCACACTCAACTGGGAAAGACTGAAAGCATTTTCCTAAAATCAGAATCAAAACTAAAGGATGCCTACTTTCACCACTTCTACTCAACATGTCACTGAAAGTTCTAGCCAGAGCAATTAGGCAAGAAAAAGAAATAAAAGGCATCGGAACAGAAGTATAATTATCTCTGTTCACAGACATGGTTTTACTAGGGGCCCAGTGCACGAAATTTGTGCACAAGTTGGGTCCCTAAGCCTGGCCGTGGATCAGGACTGATCAGGTTCCCCACCACCCTGCCTCCTCCTTCCCTCGCCGCCCACATCTGCCACCACCCACCCCAGTTCCCCATCCCAACCCGGGGCCTGGCCCCGATTGGGTGATCAGGACCTGCCGGCCAGACATTCCTACCAGGAGGTTGCCCAGCAGGCCCTGATAGGCGATTGGGGCCTGCCAGCCAGGGAGAGGGACCCAGGAGGTTGGCCGCCGGCCCCAAGGAGGGAGCCGGCCCTCAGCCCCCCTGGGGAAGAGGCCACATCTGCCACCACCCATCCCCAGTTCCCCATCCCAGCCCAGGGCCCCGGCCCGAATTGGGCAAGGGCTCGGGCAGCTCCTGCGTTGCGCATCTGCTCCCTGGTGATCAGTACGCATCGTTTTAACAGTCGCTTAGGCTTTTATATACAGTAGGTCCTCAGGTTACGTCGGAGATCCATTCCTACAGCGTGACGTAAAGTGATTTTCGCCGTAAGTCGGAACCCACCTACATAAGCACCTACATCACTGACATGGAGCACACACACAGCAGTAATGAAGTGGACCAGTAAAAAAAATTTAAAAGAAAGAGAACAATTCCTGACCTTTACTCGTGGTAAATAAATAATAAAAACATAAAGCACATATGTACATACATTGAAATGACGGAACTTTTTTTTTAATAAATAAATGAGATGGCGACGTAACCACAAAACGACTGTATATAGTTAAGATATGCAGAAAACCTAAAAGAGGCTACAAAAGCTGTTAGAACTAATAAATGAATTCAGCGATGTTCCAAGATGCAAAATCAACAGAAAAAATATCAATTGCATTCTACAGACTAACAATGAACAATCTGAAAAGAAATTTAAGAAAACAATCTCATTTACAAATGCACTAAAAAGGATAAAATACTCAGGAATAAGTTTAACCAAGGAGCCCTGGCCAGTGTGGCTCGGTGGGTGGGAGTGTTGTCAAAAATTAACTCAGAATGGATCAAAGTACTAAACACAAAAGCTAAAACTATAAAACTCTTAGAAAAAAACATAGGAGAAAAGCTTGATAATCTTGGATTTGACCATGGTTTATTAGGTTTGACACCAAAAGCAGAATCAACAAAAGAAAAAAATAGATAAATTAGACTTGATGAAAATTAAACTTTGTCCATCAAAGCACATTATCAGGAAAGTGAAAAGACAACCTTGGGAATGGGAGAAAATAGTTTCAAATCACCTGTCTGATAAGGGGTTAATAGACAGAATATATTAAGTACTATAACTCAACAACACAAACCCAACTTAAAAATTGGCAAGAGCTACATAAACATTTCTCCAAAGACACACAAATGGCCACCATTGCACGAGAAGATGCTCAACATCGTTAGGGAAACATAAATCAAAATCACAATGTGATACCATTTCATACCGATTAGGACGGCTATAATCAACAACTGGAATTCTTGTGCACTGCTGCTGGGAATGTAAAATGAGGAGGTTGCTATGGAAATCAGTCTGGCGGTTTCTTAAAAAGTTAAACATAGAATTGCTATGTGATCCCCAAATTCCACTTCTGTGTATATACTCAAAGGAATTAAAACTAGAGACTCATTCATTCCAACAGTCAAAAGGTAGGACAACCCAAATTAACAAACAAAATGTGGTATACACAGTTGGCCCTTGAAGAACACAGGCTTGAACCACATGGGTCCACTTATAAGCGGACTTCTTTTCAATAAATACAGTCGGCTCTCGGCACCCCAGGTTTCCCACCCTCGATTCAAACCTTGGATGGAAAACAGTATTTTGACCCAAAGTTGAGAAGCCATGTATGCAGAGGGCTGGCTTAAGACCTACACAGATTTTTGATGGGGGGGGGGGGGGGGGCAACCCCTAATCATTGTTCAAGGGTCAACTGTACATACGATGGAATATTGTTTAGCCTTAAAAAGGAATGAAATTCTGACACATGGCACAACATGGAAGAGCCTTGAAGACGTTAAGCTGAGTGAAATAAGTCGGTTAGAGAAGGACAAGTGCTATAGAATTCTACTTAAATAAGAGATCTAAAGTAGCCCAATTCATACACAGAAAGTAGAATGGTGGCTGCCAGGGGCTGGGATAAGAGGGGGATGGGATTTGATTCTGATATTTAAAGGTAGTTTCCATTTGGAATGATAAGAATATCCCGAAAACAGTGGTATAGTCACCTACCGCTGTAAATGTACTTAATGCCACCGAACTGTACATTTTAAACGGTAAATTTTATGTATACTCTTACAATAAAAAACAACCACCACCAGGCCATTTTCAGCCCACTGAGAGAATTCCTCTTTAAGGCCAGTTCTCCTGATGGCCTTGGGCCCTAAAGATGTGGATGCCGTCTTGTCCTTTGTGTTGACCTCAAACCCCAGCCAACAACACAGGTTGACCAGCTACTGTCAAAGGGCCGAATGAAGCCCGAGAGCCCCCAGGCCAGGTGGTTTGTGGGGGCAACTGTGGGGCGTGCTGACAAGTTGCCAACAAAAGCAGACGCCGATCAGGCAAGCTTCACTGCTGCGGGGTCCCCCTTCGGCTTTCCCACAGAACCGCAGCCCGCCACGCGGAAAGTGGCCAGGGGCCGGGCTGACCAGCCTGGTGGTGTTTTAAGCTGGAAAGCGTAGTCCCTGTCCCCCGACCCCCCACCCTTCACCCATCTAGATAGTTCATGTATTTTGTTGAGTTTAGGGCAGTTTCCATCCATCCAAGAGCAGAACCAACCACCTCCACCCCTCCGCCGTCTTTAGGGCCTTTTCACACAGATGATCCTGTGAAATCTCAAAACACTACGGTGAGGATGGATGTGTGGGGGTTATGAAGGAGACGGGGTTCACAGACACGCAGCAATGTGCCCCCAGGCCCACAGCCCCAGGAGCAAGGGCCGGGGTTTACACGTGAGCTTCAGGCTCCGCTTCTTCGATGATTCCGGAAAGATACAGGAGGAAGGGAAGCAGCCCGTCCTGGCGTCCAGCAAGAGCAAGGGGGAAGCTGGCAAGTGTGGCCGGCTTACAAGTCTGCCCGAGAAGCGGGCCGCGGAAGAACCGAGCGCCGTGCTCTCGTCCTTGGGGCCACCCTGACCCAGCAGCGGGTCTTTCCCTTTGGAGGCTCGTACTCAACGGGTCCAGCTGGGCGCCTCGGGGCGGGTCTGCGACTCCTGGGGCTGCACCTGGGGCTGCACCTGCAGCCCGGCACCCGGGCTCCAAGGGGAAGGCCGGCGAGGTCGTGGGGAAACGGGAGTTTCTGCGCCTGCAGACGCGAACCAGTCACGCCTAAACCAGCCCGCCTCGGAAACGGTCGCTGGCTCCGAGACCCAGGAGGGCAACATCCAGCAGGCAAAACGGGGTCCAGCCCTGGCTGGTTTGGCTCGGTGGATAGAGCGTTGGCCTGCGGACTGGAGGGTCCCAGGCTCGATTCTGGTCAAGGGCATGTACTCTAGAAGAGTCTTTAAAAAAAAACAAAACAAAACCAAAACGGGGCCCACTGCGCCCCGACCACTGCCCGGCCGACCTCTCGCCCCGGTTCCGAACGCTGGCTGCCACAGCCACGGCCCTCACCCCCCACTCCTCACCTTGCGCCCGGTTTTCTCCCGCAGGGCCTTCAGCCGTTCCTTTCGCCGCAACGCTTCTTCCTCTAGCCGGCCCACACCGGCCGCAGCAGCAGCCATCTTGCCCGCCAACCCCTCCTCTCCGTCAGTTTTACACTGCGCAGGCCCAATGAGTAGATGACTTTCACAGCCAATCCGAGGACGAAAATGAGAGAGCCGGAAGTCCTGAAAGCCAATCAATGCTGAGTTGCTCTAGGGGGGCCCGCCCCCTCTCTCCCCTACTACTCGCCCCGTCGGTAGGGGGCGGGCAATGCTTGAGGCGTTCAACGTCAATCAGTGGGAAAGCAGCAAGTGGCATCAGACCTGAGCGAAGGAGAATAGAGCGCGTCGATCGCTCAGGTTTTGCCTAAGCGCTAACCACAGCTCACGCCGGCCCCTTGGAATGCGCTGACCCAACCTTTGTGCACTTGTTCTGATTCTTCAAGGCTCCAAAGCCTTCAAGAAGCCTCGTCTGACTCGCCGCTCCGACCCCAGCCTAATAAGAAGTCTACCTCTCCCTTTGTGTCCACTACCAGTGGCTCTTGGGATGTCCATGGGCTCCTAGACCCTTCTGTGTCCACTCTCAGCTCAGACAAAGCCTGCGCAATGCAGGGCTTGCCTGGATGGCAATTTCCCTTCGGGCTCATGGATGGTCCTCTCCCATCTCTCCAACACCCCTGGAGTAAAAGTACCCGGGGTCAGACCACCTACCCTGAAGAAGAGCAATCCTCAGCCTGGGCCCAGTGGGCCTCAAGGAACCCCTAGAGCTTAGTTCCCAGGAACTAAGGGGAGAGTTGGTTTGGCCTCGACTGCACCAGGTGGCCACCAGGGCACTGCTCCCTAGCATGCTCTTCCCTGCATTGATCCGTATGCCCTGACCACCGAGACCCCTTTGGCTGAAGCGAAGATCTGACAACATGTTGGGGTCCTCAGAACTCCATCTCCTCCCACCTGAGAAGACAAATGCCCCTTTGCCACAGCCCCCCACCTTGTTCCCCCAAATGACCTTCTGGACCTCACGAACCTGGGTCTTTTGGCTCCCTATCTCCCGCATCAGGTAGGGTGCCTGGTATGCAGGTAGCAGATACAGGAAATGTCCATTCAGTGGTAGGATGGACAGGGCAGGAGAAAAGGCCAGTGTAGAGGGGCTGCCTAAGAAGCCAAGAGGACAGAACAGGATGGGGATGGGGATGGGGATGGGGATGGGGAGGTGGGTGTTATGTATTTGGATCTGGGTGCTGCTTGTTAACATAAAAAATCCACCAAGCGGATCACACTCACATGTGTGCAGTGACGAAGGTGGGCCGCTCACAGGGGAGTCCATGTGTGAATGACGTGCACGTGGACGGGTGGATGGATCAGTCAGTCCCAGGTACCCGTGTAAGGCTGTGTTGAGCCGTCTCCCACCCCTTGGGCCTGGCCCCTCCTCAACACCAGAGGGCCCCCTCAACTCCCAAGCCAGCTGGAAAGGTTGATAGAAAGAAGTCTAGGGGTGAAGGTGGCAGGGGCCCAGCAAGGAGTGAGTCAGGCCTCTTGTTCCTGTCCATGCTGCCCCTGGCTGCCCAGGTAGTCCTAACTTGGCCCCCTCTAGGCTCAGTTTCTCCCCCTTGCCTCTACCCTCTTAAGGTGAAAGAATTCAAAATATGTGAAGCAAGCACTGAACCTGTGCTTCCACCAGCACATCTAGGAGGGCTTCCTGGAGGAGAGGGCCCGCGGGATTGGCTAAATCTCCCAGGAATGCGCCCCACTGATGAGGGAACTGCTCTCCCAGGGGGTCATTTCAGGCGTGTTCTGCTGCTTTCTGACCCCCATTCTGCTCCACCAACAGTCCATGCAAGAAAATGGCACTCAGGCCGGAGCCGGCTTGGCTCAGTCTGCGGACTGAAGGGTCCTGGGTTCAACTCCCCATCAGGGCACAGGCCCAGGTTGTGGGCTTGACCTCCAGTAGCGGGCGTGCAGGAGGCAGCCAGTCAATGATTCTCATTATTGATGTATCTCTCCCTTCCTCTCTGAAATCAATTTTTAAAAATGGCGTGTGCTTGTTTGCTTGTTTGTTTGCTTGTTTTAAGTAGTACTAGGTCTTCCTATGAAACGCTTAACGCAGCTCCTGCACGTGGTCAGTTCTACAAGTGGTCGCCATGGTTATTGTTACAATTACTTGTTGAAGGACACTGGGCGCTGCGCGCGGCCCGCAGCTCCTTCCCCGCGCCCCGCAAGCCTTTCCTTTGCACGCAGGGTGGCAAGCCCAGCCGGGCGGGCTGCATCCCGGGACAACTCTGGAACCCCGGACCCAACATTCACCCAGCTCTGGGGAGAGCGCGGGCAGCGGGGGCGGGGCTGTGGGGCGCCCCCCGGGCCGCCCTG